GACTTGGGAGACGGCGCACTAAAGAGGAGAGGAATGTTAGAAAGGTAAAAGGGGGAGGGGGGAAAGGGGGGGGGGGGAAAGGGGGGGGGAAAAGGGGGGGGGGGGAAGTACCTCATCATCGTAGACAAACACCACGACGACGGTATCGCGTCCAACCTTCTCAATAGCGTCCAAGTAGCCCAGCGCATCGACCTCGTCGAAGCGTCCGTACCGCCTGACGCTGGGACTCGTGCGCCGCGTGCGGATATCGCTCGTCTTCTGCAGTTCCAATCTCCGCTGCTGTCTCCAGCGCTCGATGAACTCCTCGTCGTCATCGCTGGCGCTGTCGCCGCTGTCGTCCTTGAGGAACGAGACTGTGCTCGCGCGCTTCTCCGCCATCGACTGGCTGCCGCTCCGCGCGCCCTTGCCCCGCCAGCTGCCATTCCGCCGCGCCTCCTCGAAACTGCGCGCGTCCGCGATGACGCCCTTCACGCCCGTCGTGCGGCCGTGGTCGAAGTCGCGCGGTGGGAGGCGCAAGGTTCCTCCCCCGCTGAGCGTCGGCATGCGCATCGTCTCGTCGATGCGCCGCTGTGTGTACTCGTCGTCTTCGTCGAGGTCGCTGTTCTCTTTGTCGTGCCTGTAGTCGTCGTCGTCGGCGGGATGGCGATCGAGGCGTTCGCTCGCGGAGGCTTTCGCGATGATGCTGTCGAATTCTTCTTGTGCGTCGGTTCTGGCCGCCATGTCTGAGTGGTTGTGATGACGGTCTTAAATGTCAAACTGGTCTTTCCTTTTTGTCTCTTTCTTTTCTCGTTTCCCCCTTTTTGTTGGAGGCGCGCGTTGGAAGGCTGAGACTCGTGCAGGAAGGATTCGCTCGCGAGATGAGGTTGTCTGAGAAATTCTCAATGCTGCGGAGGGAGGGATTGGGATTCGTGGTGGTGAGTTGGGCGACGGGGGTCTCGGTCTCGCTCGTTACTAGGGAAGAACAAAGCGCGGCAAGGTAAGGCAAGGTAAGCCCTTGGCGTTTCAGAGATATCTTAAGAAACTTTCTTGTCGTGTGACGGTGTGGCCTTCCTTATGCCTTTGTCTTGGATTCTGGGATTATCGAAGGCTCGAAACGTGTTCTCCTATGGGCAATGTTCTGGAAGAGAGGCGCGAGCGGCCTCCTGCGTGGTGATGAAGGAGGAGAGTAAAAATAAATCAAATCCCAGCCCTGCAACGCCGTACTCCGTAGATCCCAAGGCGGTGTGTGGCGCTGGAGATCTGGCTTCTTGGTTCCTGGTGCGAGGGTGGGATGTTCTGCTGTTATCTGCGCTGAAGGGGGAAGATCTTGGAGTTCTACGCGTCTGCCCGCAAGATCCCGTCCTCGCTTTCGGCTCGTTACTTGACCTCACCTCACCTCACCTCTACCTCTCACTTCACCCCAATCACCAATTTCCAATCTTGAATTCATGGTTTATCATACAATATATCGCCCTTCCGGAACTTTCTCAAAGACCCCTCCTATTCCCTCTCTCCTCACCACCATCACTATCTAGCCCCAGGGGTACATACATTACATACATACATACCATCCTCACTCAGCCCTCCATCCTTCTCCCTCCTCGCCTCTCCCTCACGTACAGACTTAAGGTATTTCAAACTAGGTATTACATGATATTACATCCAGCACAACCCAAGGAAACCCCTCCTCTTCCATCCCTACACTCCTTATCAACAAGTGATATACTTCTAGTCAAAGCCGTAAAACTACTCTTGTTCCTCCCTCTATACGTAATATATATGTATTATTAGACAGGTCATGCCAACTACCAAGGTGCTGACGAGGCGCTGCGGTGCGAGGTGAGACGATAGGTCTGGTGCCTTGGGACTTGGGCTTGTTGTCGTGGGAGGGGTAATGGTATAGGGCTGGCTGGCTGCTTGGTTGCTCCTGGGTACTACAGGTAGTCGGCATTGGGACTCGGGAGGGATCTAGTTATGTATATACAGAGCTTTAGCTCGTGGAACATTAGTTGGCCTGCTATGATTCTTTATCCCTTGTCAGCTTTTTCAAATCTAAAGAGAAGCCTGATGGCACTGCACATAACAACAGCACGAGGGAAACAAAGCAGTCTATCGATTTGCAGTATTAGTTCGACTATCGTACAAGCAATGTGGTGACCGACGCCAGATGATTCCAAGTCAGCGGCCGAACGGCGACAAAGCTTGGGTGAGAAAAGTCTCCACTGCAATTGTTCCCTCCAGCTTGACAGAGGCTACACACACCCAGGGGTATTCGTGCAGGAGGCCTTATTTCATTTATATCCACATAACGCGATTCTTTTGGGGCTCATTCTCCTGCCCCCACTCTCCCCCACTCCTCTCTCTCTCCCCCTTTCTTTCTCTCTCTCGTGATTTTCAATGGACCGAACCCCCCCGAGGCGGCCTCGAGCTTTTTGACAGTGGGGGAAAAACAAACAAAGAAAAGGAGCAAGTCGCATGCTAGAAAGGAAACAGGACCAAGGTATCGTGTGCGAAGGGGGCGAAACCGGAAGTCTCCGCAGGATATAATCGCAAAGGACGACCCGGGCTAAACGACGCAGAAGAAAGAGCAAGCAATGCAAACAAACCGCCCATACAGACAAAAAGGTATGAAAGTGAAATTATTGTGCACAGAATCAGATGCGCATGTAGCAGTCATGACCCTCTCGCCCGAATAAGATCAACCGAACTGTCTAGTGACGAACAACTGCTTCGCTAAACGTGGAGATGCTTTCGTGACTTCGTCCAGTCGACGCCCCGTCGGAGAGATTATTAAGGCGTGATCGGTAGGTGATTAGAGGAGAGAGCGGGCCGCGGGTCCCATGTGACGTGAAAAGCTGCTCTGCACAACTTCAAAAAGAGGGGGATTCCTGTCCGCGGTTGTCGTGGTGTTAGGAATCTTACATAGCCCAGATTTTGAGCTTAAAGAGCACGGAGTTAGCCTCTTGTATCCAGGGAGCAGGATCAGAATTCTGTACTCACCAATGAATCCCATGATCCAGTGCACAAACTCATGCCGTCATTAGAGACACCCAAGCAGCTAACGCGGTTGTCGTGGCCGACTAGTGATCCAACCTTCTCTCCACGGGTGATATCCCAGACCTAGATGTTGGAATCAGCCTTGTTCACGTTCGTAGAAGCGCGACAGGAAAGGCCGCTACACGCTGTCCATACCTTGCACTCAAAATCGTCATAGCCCGCAAAGAGGAGTCGGCCAGAGACTGAAGTAGCGACAGAGGTAATGCCGCAGAGAATAGAGTCGTTCTAGGTAACGGGATTAGCGAGTGATCACGATAGGCAAAAGAAGCAGACATACTCCATATTGGTTTAACTCGCGATCAGCACGGATGTCAAAGAGTCTGCAGGTAGCATCGTCTGAACCAGTGACGAAGGAGTGGCCATCAGGGAAGAATTGGATGGCGTTGATGTCTGATTCATGACCCGCAAATGTCTGAACAGCCTTGCCAGCTCGGATATCCCATAGTTTCGCGAAGGCATCACAAGCACCAGAGACAAAGGTGTTCTGGTTAGTGGGGTTGATGCTAATGCTCATAACATCTCCTAGGTGGTCTGCGAACTCTGTGACCTTTGATCCCGTCTCAATATCCCATTTCATACAGGTCATGTCGCCAGAGGAGGTGAGGATACTCCGGTCATTGATAAATCGGCAGCAGGAGAGGTATCCGGAGTGTCCAGAAAGCTCCCTAGCAACACGGGTCGGACCGTCACGGTTTGAGTTCAGGTTGTAGATTGAGCAGATATTGTCAAGACCACCACAGGCGACATAGTTACCGCTGGGAGCGTAGGCGCAGGTCATGACCCACGAAGATCGGAGAGGAATGGCATGGACTTTGTTGGTGGTGTAGGCATCCCAGATAATGAGCTTGCCGTCTTGGGATGCTGATACCAGATGTCGTCGATCGGTCGACCAGTGCATGGCATAGATCTTGGCAAGATGGCCCTTCAATGTCTTCCTTGTCTTCATCATCTGGTTCTTAGGGAGAGGCTCCTGCTGGCTCTTGGCAATGTTCGCAACTGTTGATAGTTAGCAGGCCATTGGAAATGGCATCAAATAGGAGCGCGCCAGAGATGGATTGAGCTCGCTATAGATCTGATGAGACTTACGCGTGCCATCTGCCAGATCATCCTTCTTGCGCTTTATCCTATCCTTGAGGTTCTCAGCTTCGCGACGGGCCTGCTGGATGCGCGTCTGCATCGCCTCTGGAGATACATCGTTGGACATGGTGGCCTGCGGATGGAGCAGCGACGTTATAGATCAGCAGGACGGGGGGCGGTGGATGCTGAGATTAGAGATTATTCGGGGGGTAGGTAGGGGGCTCTCAGCGCGCCGGACGGGGAGAGCGAATCCTCCGGAGAGCTGTGGACAAGTGTCGAGCAGACAGCTGGGCGGGGAGGGCGATGGCGATGGCGATGGAGATGGAGGAGACAGAAGAGACAGAGGAGATGCGGCTTGCGACAGGACAGGACAAACCGGTGTCGAGGCTGGACGGGGGGCTTCAATTGAACGAAGTGGAAAGTCGGGTGGAGGGGGCAGGCGAAGGGAAGGGGGAAGGTTTGCTGGGGAGCCGGTGGGAGGTGAAAGAGCGCAGCAATTGGGGAAACGATAATTAACCGACCGACACTAGGCACTGTTAGGCGCCTTTGGTCTTCCCGGCTCGATGTTGCTTGAGGCAAGGTATTCCTGACGGCGGTATATTTAGGGAGAGATCTGCCCGCTCCAGAAAAGTACATATATCTCTACGTCTGCCTTGCGGTAAGCAGCAATTGGCAGTGGCTCGTCTCTCTCGGGCATTATTGCTAATGGTTCCCCTTCTCCAGGAATCCGTCGGCGCGAGAGGAGGGCCTCCTGGGCGCCCGGCTGCATGGGCAGGGAGACGGACAGGGAGAAGCCAAGCGCAGTGGGCTGCCGCTGTCGAGTCGATGCGCGCCAGCCATACCAAGGCCAGAGGGAAAAGCCACCGATCATCTCATCCGCACCAGACACCCGCTGCGGGTAACGGAGGAGTAGTAAGGGCTGCGCGCGGCGCACAGTCCAATATTACATACAGAGTATACATACGGAGTATACATAGAGGATACATACAGAATTACATAAGGTACAGTGCTTTATATATGACTGCTGCAGCGCCGTCCCGAGTACAGGGCAGGATAGGAACTGAGAAAGGGGCCGCGGAGAACAGCCACTGCGGCACATAAATCGCCGGGCGGATTGGATGGATTCTAGAAGCACAGAACAGAGGGGAGAGGGTAGGAAGGAGGAAAATACTACGGAGTACAGAACAGAAACACCGTCTCGATTATTGCGGAATACTGGGTGAGCTACGTTGTCTCTACAGTGCTACACCGTCCAGGCTCTCCTCCTCCGTGCTCGTTTTTCCAATTTATGGAGATGGGCCTCTGGTTTATTATCTCATGCAGGCGGGAGCATGGATCTGGTGCTGGTGGGACTTTAATTTTACGCCTTGCACCGCATCTACGACCACCACGTCTTTTGGTAGCTTGTACTGGAGTAGTACTCCGTAATATAGTGGTGGATAGGGTCAGGACCGGTATGTACGGCTACGGAGGGGATTGTTAATACGAAACTTTCTTCCTTCTGTCTTCGATTCTTATTAATCCATTATTACAGACACACTCTGACCAGTCCCATATGATTGCTCTGTAGCCAACGGGAGCCAACTGTGTTCTGGAGCCTCTCTGGAGCCTCTGTAGCGCGGTCTATCCGAAGATACCGCCCGATCATACCGGCGGGGGAGCATTCCGCGGCACAGGTGGGTAGGTCGGTATACTAGGGTTCTGTAGGGAGGTATCCAGGTACATGTATGATGTCTCTGATGCTCTCTTTCACACAGAGCACAGATATACAGACATTAAGTAGTTTGGTTGTATACATGTACATGTACCTCCGGATTGATTGGTGAAGTGATAAAGAGACAGACGCCTCCTCTGAATCAGATCACTGGCTGCCGGCGGGAATCCTGACTAATGCTTCATCCCTCAATCCTTAATCTGTTCAGACTTCAGAGTACCGCCCGCAGTTCATTGGACTCTCCTCTGCGCCATGATCCATCTTCCTCCGGCTGCCAATGCCATTTACCAGTCTGCGGCGTCTCGTACAGCCCCGCAACTTGAAGAAAAGACGTTGCCTTGTTGACAATGTAGGTATAACTCCGTATTAATGACGAGGGCACCAGATATCAAGTATATTGTAAGCCGTAAACTTTAAAGCCAGCTTCAACGGTTGGACCGTTGGACCGACGCAGCAGTTCACGGTTCGCCCAGGTTGAACCCAGAGCGCTGCCCGTCCCAACCCGGTCTAGCCTGAAGTACTTCGGCGCCCTGAGCTACGACGACTCGGCCGGAGGAAGAAGGTCCCTGAGCACAGTGCTACTTACAACTTACTACAACTGAGGCATCTGTCTGGGTATCTATCATCTCATGATTCTGATCACAACCAGCTATTTGTCAATCTGACTCTGGTCTCTGACCCGACGGGAGCACTCTGTACCTCCAGGACATCGGTGCGTATCTCTCATCTGGTCTCTGGTCTCTGTCTCTGTCTCTGATCTAATCATCGCAAAGGGAATGCCGAGCCGAACCCTTCGCAGAGCGGCGAACCACTCTCCTGACCTCAGATTCCCAATAATCTACCTCGTACAGTGCAGTACCACTCCGTACGTGCGTAATACCGCTACAACTACCACTACTATACTCGCTTCCTTGGTCCCCGATCCCCCCCTGCTCTACGGCTTCATCCTCCGGAGACCCTACCCATGTCTGAGCCAACACTTACCGAGTCCGAGCGAAGATTGGCGCCAGATCGCGTCCTAATCGTCGGCCGACGAATGACAATCATTGCCCTTAAGCCACGGCCGTGGTGGACCAGAGCCCAGAGCCGTCAGAGCAGAGCCCCTGATAATCTGATCTGAACGTGACCCAGCTAAGCCCGTTCCTACGTACAAGTACCGACTTGCTGTAGAAAGTCAAGATATTGTACGAAGCGCGACAGGAGAGAAACCTCGTGTGTCGCATACGTAAAAGCTTCACAGCACAATAAGTAGGTACAGTATTCCCAGGTATGGAAGACAATCTATTGCAAATATCCAAAGTACTCCGTACACACAGACATCATGGTACGTAAAAAGCGTTGGACTCCCGATATCTACCCGAAATTGAAGGAAGCCCTGCCATTTACTGCCCTGAGTCCCTCACCGCGCTGACAGCCTGGCAGCTGACTGGCAGTCTTTGAATAATGCACATCATATCTGATTCAAGAGCGCCGGCAGTTGCATGCCGACCCGCGCATTCAGCCGCAAGTGCTTCATGAACTATGGAAACGGGAGAAAGGGCGATTAGTGTCCACCTATGAGGGCCCTCTGATTGGAATGCCTCTTCGGGAGTTTGACCATTATATTTTGCAGACGTGAGTGCTTTTATCCATTCTGACTCTCCTCTTTCCTCCAGCTTTTGCTGCTACGATATAATATATACGCTCTACGCAATGGTATGTCGTCTCTACCAACCCTGTCGCCGGGGAATTCCAAGCAGACGGCATCATTCACGCGAACACCGGACGGTTCTCTGAGCCATTCCTTTTGCAGGCATTGCAAAGGCCAATTACGTCCAGAGTCCTTAAATGTATATCAGCCTTCAACTGACCTCCCTGAGGAGCGACCTAATTCTTTCGATCGACCAGCCTTGCCCGTAGTAGACCTCGTCGCTCATATCGCCCAGAGAGCGTGGTTGGCATCAACTTCTATAGAAACTCAAGAGTAGGGGACGTCTCGATCTTCAACCAGGCTTTCGAAGCAGCGGAAATCAAGACTGGGAGGCACCACACACCTGCCAAATGCTCTTGAGTAAGCCATGGACGAAGATGCCGCTCTCTTGCAAGCAGGTTTGAATCGGCCGTGTAGTCAATGTACGAATGGATATATGAAACAGCAGATGGTGAAGAGAAAATTGGAATTTCAACTTTCTTTGGGCTGTGGTGTGCATGCCAAGAAGGTTTTGGTGGACGGAGACTGGATGCTATATTGGGTTGAGCACGTTTCCAAATCCCTCTTCAGTCATTTTGAAAAGCAGAGGATTAAGGTATACTAACGACCGGAGCCTGTTAATGACAGTAGTCTCTCTGATAACTAGACACGGTAAATGTCGGTGTCTTTGGGAGAAGCCTGTCAAATGAACAGTCACTTACTTCAGAGAATTGTGTGTTGAGCAGGAGGGAGATCTGAGTGTATTGATCTCATCCTTTGGATAGGAGATGATAGGAAGAACTTAATAGAGTTGATGTGGCTACAGTTCTACAAAACGTGAGTAGCTTCCCCGCGACAGGAAGCCCAAGGTATGTCGAGAAAACCCAAAGCTGGTGACTATAGCTTTGTTTCAATTCAACGTGTTGCTTATTTCTCTTTGGTATTCCTTTAGATTGGATATCCCTCCCGTAGTTTCAAGTGGGCTTGAACAAGCTGTTCTGTTTTGTCGATTCCCCATGGTTTTAAGTGAGTTGGGAAGGCTAGTGTCATTTATGGGCTCTTCTTGTCGCCCATGAGGGTTGTCTGCTCTCGCTAATTCACTTTAAGTGAATCTTCTTGTTGACCAAGGTAGTTATCTGCTCTCGGCAGTTGTTTCACAGACACAACCCAAAGATATCAACAACCATCCTACACCCACGTTCGATCAACTTCAACACCCCACACAACTCGTGCAACTTCTGTGTTATTAACATAGGACTCCTTTCTCTACCTACACAGTCATCTGCCTACGCGGTCATCCTTGATTTGAGTCAAGTGAGTGATTACTCCTACACAATCCTTTCAACCGATCTAGCTCTTCGATTAGTTGATCAGGGAGCAACCAAGACAATGGCGCAGGTTTACAAGGACCGATACGCCGAGACTCATAGAGAGCACCGACGTATTATCGACCAAGTAAGTCCCGATCTATTGTTGATTCCCTAGAATAGCCTCTGCCGCATCGGCGCAGTTATTCATCCACTTCAGTGCCAGCTCCAGTATCTCTTGCAGTGCACTCTCCCTATAACATCTGTGACGAAGCTGACCAGACTCTCAGGCCTGCCAGGTCATTCAGTCACGTCACTGGAAGACGAAGAATAATGCCATCGACCAGATCTTCGATCTCTATCAGAATGATCCCCGTCTCAGCAAATTTCATAAAGCTCAGATCTCTGGCCTCCTTGCAAAGTACGGAGATGATACTGATATTGAAATAGCAGAATATGCCTTGGAGTGTATTAAAATTGCTAGACAGATCATTCGTAAGGAGAATCTCCCCGAAGGTAGCAATGGCCGCCAGGCAGTTGAGGACCTGGTTTGGGATGCCCTGGACACTCTCAAAGCTAGGGCCTCTGAGATCGAAGTTTCTGACAATATGGCGCAGTATCTTCGGAACCTGGAGCAGGTCGGGGGACGCGTGACTGAATACGATGACGACGACGACGACGAAGAAGAAGAAGAAGAAGAAGAAGAAGAAGAGAGCGATGATAGTGACGAAGAGGAGAATGATACTGAGATGGAACTCGATGGAGGAGAGGGCAATATGAAGCTCCAGACATCTCAAGCAATTAACATAACAGTTTCCTCTCTCCCCGCATTCCCGTACAGTGGTAATGCGAAGGCCCTCGAGAAGAGCATCACGCTGCCTGGTAAACTCAGACTTCCTGCCAACTACGGCGTTCAACATTTTGCTGATCCCGATATGGACGAAGTCAATATCAACATGAGACACGAGGACCTCAAGCTTGTCGGACTCTTCCTCCTGCTCGTTCTCGACGATCCCCGGGAGATGGAAGCAATGGTCCTCTCCTACGCCATAAGCAAGAACCTCACGATCATGGAATTGGCGGACATGATGACCAACGCCTACGGACCGAGGGAAAAGACCCACGAAGAAATAGAGATGGAGACGCAGATGCAGACAACACTCCCCCCACCGGCTCTAACTCGTGTCTTCTTCCAACCATTGGCCCTCCGTACGTTCACCCTTGATAATCCTCAGACCCGCAATACTGATAACTCTCCAGGTCCACGCGAACTACTCGAAGGTGCTGAGGCAATGCAGGAAGAGGAACAGTTGTAATGGGATTTGATACTGAGATATCTGATGGCTTTGGTAAACCCCCCTTGTCCCGGATTTAAAACCCTCTGTACAGATCCCTCTGCTAACTCCTCCTAGTCTAATGAGATAATGACCTGGCATCCGCATCATGATATGGAGGAACACTTGTTTAAGATTACTGTAATGATTGTTTCTAGTTCATGCTTTTTTTCTTTTTTCTTTTCATTCCTTTTTTCTCTTCTCCTCCGGACGATCGATCATCAATCAGCAGAGCAACCAACCAACCAGCGAACAATCTGCTCCTCAAAATCAAAACGAGAACAACTCAACAGATCCCGGATCCTACCTAGGTACTCGATGCCTTATTTTCATGTCGTTCTTTTTCTCTGTCTCTTTCTTTTCCTTCTCATCGATGAACGATCATGACCAAAGCAAGCGATGAATAGATGGATGGAGGATGGATGGATATTCAATCCACGCCTTTACGAGCTCTAGCTCTGACTCCCCTCCACTTCACCCAACTGGACTCAACTCAATTCAACTCCCCTCTTCCCCACAAATCGATACATAGTCTTGTACTAATAAGATAAACCTCACCTCTCTTCAATACAAAAATTACAAAAAAAAATTAAGCTACAAGTAGATTATCTCTTCTGTGACTGTGATGCTCTGACGGCTTGTTCAATTTTGTGTGCGTTGTTGGGGGGGGGGGGGAATTCGCTACCCAATGCAATACCCTAGCTAATACCCACGCAACTATGCTTTTGAAAGACCGACCAACCAACTCTTCTGATAATGATGCCATGCTAATAATGCTGATTGACAACAACAACACCCCCCAACCCAACGCCCCAACCAGAACCAGAGCCAGCCAGCCAACCAGTACCTTATAACTTCCAACCATGCAATCAGCCTATCTCCCAAAAATTCCCTCCCAAAACCAGAACCGAAACCAAAATTTCAAATAAAGAAAAAAAAAAAGGGAACGGCTAGAAGCCCGCCGCACCATCAATACTAGGAAAATCCCCAAGCGTCATATAATCAAGAAGATCCATGCCTCCGACATTCACGCCGTCCGCGGTCTGCGTGATAGCTTGATCGTTGACGTTCTGGAAGAAGGCCGCGCCTGGAGGCAGGTACCACATCTCGCTGTTGTTGTTGTTCCAGTCGCCGGGCTCGCCGAACATCTGGTCGGGCATGTCGGGTCCGTAGGTGGAGCCTGGGGCTTGGGCGTAGGGCGTGCCGCTGCTGGGGTAGTAGGCGCCTTGGTTGAGATCGAAGGGCGTTGCGGAGACGGTGAGATCAGCTGGTTTTTTTTGTGTTAGGATTGTGGTTGACTTTCTTTTTTGGGAATTGGGGGGGGGG